CGGCCGCCTCCGCGTCGGCGGCTGGCACCGCGGATCACTCTTTGCACGCGGACGCCATTGCTCGAGGATACTTGCAAGGTGATTACTTAATCTCTCGATCATCGAGGAGGTTTAACCTTTTCAATATTGCTGCGATCTATAGACTCGTGTGTGAAGCCGGTCCGTATTGACGACTTATTTCGCGGAAGTGCCGTGCAGAGCTGGAAACAAGTCCAGCGTGATGACTTAGGGCGAGAGAGGAAAGCTTGTAACGCTTGAATCTTTGGTCACGCGATATTGTCCGATTTGATTCGTTGATTTTATCGCGTCGGGTAATAACGAGGAGGTGGGCCTGTGGGGATACGATCTAATCAGATCTGCATTCCTTTGGAGGGATTTCTTTCGAGTTTTGCATAGTACGGTAAATACTGAACGGAGATGAGAAGTTGGGTGGCATTACAGTGTGACGGATTCAGGTTCTTTTTATGTATTTTTGTCGTTGGTTGAAATTAGGCGCGTCCAACTCACGCGCGACCCCGAGGGGCTATAGTAATTCGGCCCCGCAAGATGTGGAACTTTCAACATTGTTGCGTGATTTTTAAGGATATTTTTCGTGACTCGATCGTGATGTAGTAGAAAATATAAAATAATTAACTGAGTTTTGTTACTTATATGTATGTATATTAGGTGTAGGAATGAATTCGTTCCGATTTTTGTGTGGAAATAATTCCCATTATTGTCGATGAACTTTTGCCATTTTTCTGCCAGCTTGCGAACACCGTCGCGATAAATACTTACTAGCTTTGAATGAATTATGTGAATCCAGCCGGAAACAGTTCATTTCTACACCTAACACATTAACTATATTATGTATTTCGTATGCGTCTTAAAACAATTTTTCCCAGGAAAGCCTAAAAATTAGACACCTATGGTCGAAATGGTCACATTTACAAATCGAATTACATAGAATTGCGCGAAGAATAGAGACCAAATGGGATAGAATTTAAAAGCGATAAAGTTTTCAAACGGATGTCAGCGTGTGTCGCGAAAAACCTAAAATTGGAGATTTAAGGAGATTCACAGACTCCTCTTGCCCTTATGCCATTCCGCTAAACATCTCATCTCTGCGCAGTGCAGTGCTTTACTTGAAAGTACTACAGGGTGATTTTCTCGATAGAGACCGTAAACATTCATAATTCACTGTCTCATTTCTTCCTGTTTTCCTACGAATATTTACATACACGTACTTTGCATCTTGTGAAACATGTTCTTCCTTAAACAGTCGTTGAAAATGGCCGCCTTCAGCATCCAAACACTTTCACAGCCGCCTCTCTTTTCACCTTGTCCCTAATCTTTCCACTAATTCCCAAATGTAACATTTTCAAGGCGCAGTTCTTTCACTGTAAATATTCCAAGTTACCTTTTGACACTCCTCGACACTAGAACTACCAGCCGAGTCAAGATGGCCCATTAGCGACTTTACGAAAGTGAATTTTTACGTAAGTAAACAGTGATTGGAAAATTCGATTCGTACCGATACAAATAGAAGCATACACGTAGAAAATAAATTCGGAAAGTTACAAATGATAACTCTTACCAGTATTGAACATTCACGTTTTCTCGAAAGGTACTAATGGGTCGGTAGTTCTAGTGTTAAGTGAACCTATCTGCTAATGTATTAACTCTCGGAAGGCGAATGGTTTTAGACGAACGCGGACGACGAATGCGGGATCACTTTGATCCATAGCAAAATTTCTATTGTACACGGGTTCCAAGAAAAAATTGGGTAGGGTATGAGACCCATGAGACAAACTGTCGACTGTTTTAAAAGTACGATATGTATTCTTTTGTAAGGTACTGGACTGTACAGTTCGTAATAAAATAAAAGGGAAAATTATGCAAATACGCAGATTTCAAAAATGGGTCTGTCTTTTTTCACACATTCGGCATATTAAATCTGTTTCTTCGGCACTTTTTACACTAAAAGAAAATTGGGTACCTAATATGAGACTCTTCCGAGTAGCTTGGTTATTTAACGATACGCAACTGGTAAGCCTTAAACTCCATTGCACGCTCTGTACAACAGTATTTATGAAAATGATTATAAACTTAACGCGGTTAATTACGAAACAAAAGAGCATCGCCACGACATTCGAGAGTTCTGTAACGGCTACCCTATTACCCTATAAATGTGCATACTTTCAACTATGTATATTTGATATTTTTCAAACGTAATCTAAGCCACCTGACTTTATCGCTGTTAAGTGAAAATGACCCTGCATTCGTCTTACGAGGGTTAACGAACGAGAAATACGCGTTGTTCAATGGACTATATGCTTCTTTATGACGTACAACCACTTTACACCACGGAAACAGCCTACAAACTTACCGAGCAATGTTTACAAACTCTAACGAAAGAACCACCCTATAGTTTC